ATAAGGTTATGAAACTAATTTACAACTGTTATTTGTTCTTGCAGAGCAGAAAATGCACTAAGTGAAAATAATCTAGTAAAGATGAGAAAATACAGAAAAAAGCTCACTGTTAGTATGAATAATAAATGTGAGTTAACAACTAACAGCTGATAATCAAAAAAGCAAAATAGTCTTTTAAGAAAAGACTCAGGTTATTAAGAAAGTTAGATATACAAAGGTCAACTAGTCAAAAAACATAAAACTTCTAAAATACTAAAATAAAAATGTTATCAATTAGTGCTCAAGGAACCCACATCTCATATAGAAATATAGCAATTGTAATTAAAATATTGTGACAGAACTGAGAACAAACACCTCTGTCAGTCATTTCAATAAAAAGAACAAAGTTAACTTATCTATTAAAAGAAAAGGACATTTCATTTTGGCTCACAAAGCAGGACCTAATGATACGCTACGTACAAGGATAACAAGTAAAACTAAGTGATTTACGAAGGCAAAAATTAATGGGAAGTACAAGAAAATACCAGGCTAATGGAAACAACAAGAAAGTGTGAGTAACTATCTTGATATCAGGTGAAGTATAATGTTAAGTCAAAAAACTTTAATTGTGACAAATAAGGCTTCTTTCTTAATGCTAATGTCACAAGCCACTTATGAAGATACAACACAAAATAGTTATAAACCAAATAACAACACAGCTATCTTTATGAGGCAAAATCTATAGAAAAAGAAAAGAAACATAAATAGTAACATGCCAAAAATTAAAAAGTAAAAGAAAACCATTAAATCCCAGGCTCAAAAACTAGAAAAAGAACAAAAAATTAAAACAGAATAAAATACAGAGTATTATAGTAAAAATAAAGTACAAATTTTGAAATAGTTAATGGAAAACTAGTAATTGGGAATCCTAGGTTTTGAGGGGATTTAACACAGAAAAAAACAGTATTCTTAATTTTGTTGATCAAAACAGGGGGTAAATAAAGAATATATAAAATAGGAAAAACAAAAGGGAAATAAATGTTGAAACGATAACTCATTTTTAAAAATCCTAAGAGGCTCCTTTGGAGACTTCTTTGCAGATAAACTTGAACACTTTGATTAAAAGATTTTATTTTCCTAGGGAAATACAGATTACCAAATTCACTCTGTCAGAATAGAAAACATTAACAAACCAGTCCCCATAAGAAAATAAAATGATTATTCCTAAAAAGAGTGGTTTCACACTGGAATTCTACAGGGCCTCCAAAAGCCAGATGTTGCTAATGCCCAATAAATTGCTGGACCTTTGAAAATAAACTAAAACTCCTTTTCATGAAACAAACATAAAAATAATACCTACAAATGATGAAGACAGTACTCAAAAATAAAATACAATGTGAATATTACTCAGGAATACCAATACAAAATACTAAATAATATGTCAGCACACAGAATCCAACACTTCATTAAATATGTAATATATGATGACCAAGGGGGCTTATTCAGATATGTAAATTGATTTAGTTCATATTATACACTATATTAATAGTTCTAAGGATGAAAAAACATAATTATTTTTAGAAATGCTGAAAAGAACTTTGACAAATTTCAATACCATTTTCTGATTTAAAAATAAAGTCAAGAAAATTGAAAGATAATTTCTTAACGTGAATATACACATAACGAAACATTAGTCATTTCTAAGGTCTACAACAATGCAAAGTTACCCATTACCATCATTATTATTCATATATATTAGTGAATGCTATTAGATGAGAAACAGCAATGAGTTGCACATGAATTGGCAGAGAAAAAATAAAATTATTTCTTTGCATATGGCATAATAGCATATATTGAAAACTCCAATATCCAATTCCTAAATTAACAATAAAAAATCAGTAAGGTAGTAGAAAGGTAGTAGGATATAAAATTAGCATTTTTAAATCTATAACACTGATACACAAAATATAACTAAGTTGATATCTCAAATAATAGAGGCAAAGATTGACTTTTTCTTTTTTTAATAAATGATGCTGAGTCAACCAAAAAGCCATTTGAAAAGATAAAAATTAGGTTTATACTTCATACCATACCATAAACTTCACATGGATCAGGGAATTAAATATAAAAAAATAAAGCAACATAAGTACTAAATGTAAACATGGATTGATTCTACTCAAAACCAGTAACACTTGGACAAAAGTGTATTAAAAAATAATGTAACCACATTGAAATAAACAGGGATGAAAAGAACTTACAATCTAAGTAACTTTGAGGATCAGTATTTTGATTGCTGTGATACTGTAATGCTAAAATCAAAAATAATTACACTTTATTTTATTCTAGTTAATTTGTTATCATAGACATGTTAAAATTCTAAAACTATGTATTTATTGTAATTGAACAAGTAAGAAAATATTCTACAGATATTCTACAGTCAGGTGTCTCCTTTTATTTTTTTCTTTTATCTTTTTTTAATTATTATTCAGTTACAGTTGTCCTTATTTTTCTCCCATTACTCTCCCCTGTCCTACCCACCCCTTACCTCCCATATTCAATCCCCCCAGTTGTCTTTGTCCATGGGTTCTTTATTCATGTTCCTTGTTGACCCTTTAGGTGTCTTATTATTGGAAAAAGGAGTTAAAAATAAGGGGGAAAGCTAGACTGACCCCTGTAGTGTTTAGATTGGAATCAGAGATCTCAGTATAAATTCATAGTTTATAACATACATATGAAGGGGTAGATATCGAAATACAGATGTCTGTGAATGTGTGTGTACAACATATATTTTCTACTTCTGCCCACAGAGAGGGTCAAGAGGCAGTGGCACCTATATTAATGAATATACCTAGTGCCCAGATCACAGTTTCTAAATAGCTTTCTATAAAAAAGTAACCAGGCCTCTTTGGAGAAATGGTTAATTCCATTGCCAGACTAAGATGAGTGTGGACTATCTTAAGTGCTAGACAGAAAGGATATGCTAACAATATGATGGGAACATGTGAAAGAAAGTAGAGTAGAATGTTTTATTTCCATATTTCCACCACACACAAAAATAAACTCAAGATGGATAAAAGACTTAAATATAAGTCACGACACCATCAAAGCACTGGAGGAGAACACAGGCAGAGAGATTTGAGGTGTTCTGAGCAGCTACATTTTCACCGATATGTCCCCTAGTTTTCTTTATGACTTACAGAAAAGAATAAACAAATGGTACTTCATCAAAATAAAAAGCTTCTGCATGGCTAAAGAAAACATCAGCAAAATGAAAAGGGAAACAACTATATGGGAAAATATATTTGCTAATTATACCCTGGACAAGGGTTTGATCCCCAAAATATATAAAGAACTCACAGGACTCCACTCCAGGAAGACAAAAAACCCAATTAAGAAATGAGCAAAGGATCTTAACGGACAGTTCTCCAAGGAGGACATACACAGGGCCCAGAGACGTATGAAAGGATGCTCAGCATCGCTGCCCATCAAAGATATGCAAATTAAAACCACGATGAGATACCACTTCACACTAGTGAGAGAATGGCCATCATAAACAAATCAACAAACAAGTGTTGTAGAGGATGTGAAGAAAAGGGAACCCTAATGTACTGTTGGTGGCAATGCAGACTGGTGCAGCCACTGTGGAAAACAGTATGAAATTTCCCCAGAAAACTAAGAATGGAACTGCCTTTTGACCCAGCAATTCCACTACTGGGATTATACCCTTAGAATACTGAAACACCAATTCAAAAGAACCTATACACCCCAATGTTCATAGCAGCACAATTTACAATAGCCAAGTGTTGGAAGGAACCTAAGTGCCCATTGATAAATGAGTGCATCAAAAAACTGGTACATTTACACAATCGAATACTACACAGCAGAAAGAAAGAAGGAACTCCTACCCTTTGCAAATGGACATGGAAAGCATTATGCTAAGTGAAATAAGCCAGGTGGTGAAAGATAAATACCATATGATCTCCCCTACAAGTAGAACCTAATCAACAAAATAAACAAGCAAGCAAGCAAAATATAACCAGAGACATTGAAATAAAAAACAAACTTTGACAGTAAACAGAGGGGAGGGGAGAAGGAGATAATGGGAAAAAGGGAAGGGTCATCAAGGAACTTATATAAAGGACATATGGACAAGGTCAAAGGGAGGTAGGAACGAGGGTAAGGAGTAGAGATTCATGGGGTAGGGAGGAGTGGTGGGGGAAAATGAAGACAACTGTACTTGAACAACAATAAAATAAAGGAAAAAAAAGAAAATAATTTTAAACATATTGATATTTGAATCAAAGCTCTAAATATGTAGAATTAAATCTAGTAAATAGTACTAAATATACTATTTAACTCTTCTTCAAAGGAAACATCAATAAAAAGTAAATATATACTTTGACCAATATATGATGCTCATGAATTTGGTATGATAAAAATTCAATAGGTAAGATTTCAATTTCCCTATAATTGGCCATAGTATAATACAATCTCAATAAAATCTTTGCTGATTTATATTTTTTGTTTGTTTCAAAGATTCATGGAGAAAACTTAGAAGTTAATTATATTACAAAATGTATATATAAATGCAAGGGACCAAAGATAACAATCTTAACCAAGAAGAACAAAGTAGTATTACCCACTCTAAATATACTATCAAGGTTTATAATCCTACATTAATTAAAACAATGTATCATTGGCTCAATATTAAAATGCCTACTTACTTTTCAAATATTTACTCATGAAATATCTCTCAGCTTCTCCGATAGTTTCATCAAAACTTGGCTGTCTCGTCCTTCATTGTGGCAGTTGTAAAATAGTTACATCAGAAATGTTTATATGTCTTTATTTGTTCATCAGACTGTGAACCCCTCAAACTAGTGCCATTCCAGTTAATACCTGTTAAACCCAGCAGTCTGACAAAACATCAGCCACTCAAGGAATATGTGATCTATAATCAAAATAACATCAGTAAATATGGTTTCCATATTCCCCCACATCTCAGAATATGTAAAACTTACCTCCTATATCTGGGCGAAGTTTATTGTCATAGCCTTGAAGCAAGGAATTGAGAATTTGTGTTACATCTCCTTCATGAATCTTTGGTGCCAAAACCCAAGTTTTGTTGACTGTTAAATCCTCATCATCTTCGTCATCTGCTTTATCAACACTAAATAATTCCAAAAATAAAAAAGAATGATAGAAATTTCAACCATACTGTGTATTTCAAAAACATAGTTTAAGATTATTATAATTTTGTTAGGGAATAGTAAGAGGGGGAAAACATCTGAAATATTTTCATTGGAAATATTTTATATTCAATAACACTAGTGACTTCATTATATGAACCATAATACTAATAACAGCACTCAAGAGTGAAGAATTTGTTCCCAAAATATAACACATAGTATTAAAATAATCAAATAAATAGTGGTCATGCCCCCAACTGTTGCTAAAGGCAATGGACTGAGAATGAACGGTGGTCCTAGATTTGCACAGCACACAACCTGGACAACCACAGGTGGTCCACCACACCCGAAAATAAATCCACCACACCCAGAAATAAAAATTTAAATATAAATAAATACAGGGAGAGTTGTAATGATTAGCATGGTCAAATGTATAAAATGCATGTAAATGGAAGAAGATTTAAGGAAAGATGAGTGAAGAAAGAGTTGAAGTAAAAGGAAATAAATATTCAAGACATAATACTTATGTGTTATGCCTTTCTCCATTTAAGTTGGAAGAACCCAGGCATCTTATTCCAAAACATCACCAAAGATTGTCTTATCATCACATCAATGCTGTGTACCTCACCCTTCATATATATTTGGGGTCAGAGTTGCAGTAAAATGAAATAACTATTGAACACATCTATGACTTTCTTCTTTTAAGTCACAACAACTCAGACATCTTATTTTAAAGCATCACCAAAGACTGTCTTATCATCAAATCAAGGCTGTGTGACTCACCCTCCACACGTATTTGTGGGCATGATTTCCAAATTTTGGGACTAGAGTAGAATATAAGGATCAAATAAGCCACTGCCTTTATGATACAAAGGAGAAAACTGAAGACAGTAGGGACCTAACCAAGCACAACCCTGTTTATTAGCAAAACTGGGAATTAAGCTCTAGCTCTCCAGTTAATATTTCCTGCTACACCTGTGGGTTTAACAAACATAAGAATTCAGCTTATTTCTGAATTGTGATGAAAAATGCAGTAATATAGAAATTCATCTGCAATTCATCAAAAGTAACAGGCTACCCTTAAATGACAACAATCAACTTTGTACCACGCAGGAGATAGCCGACATACTCAAAATATCCAAATCAATAGTTATTGGTGAAAATGAAAAATGTGTCTTTTACTTTATGGAAAAAACCATGTGGACTTTCTGGCCAACCCAGTATTTACATATACAGTATTTTAAAGATCAGCTTCTCTCCACCAGTGAATACAAAAGTTATGTATTCTTTAGTTAATCTTTCTACACTATACACTCAGATCTATTTTCTTTGGACCTAAACATCTTAGCTAATTCAGCTCCCACCCCAAATATCAATGATTTGATTTATGTATATACAGAAAAAAAAATATTACCAGAATGCTAATATCCACCTTCTTTATTCTTAATGAGTATAAATCAACATTTTAAATTAAAACTTAACCTTTTCAGTATTTACTACCTCATTTCATCTCCACAATAATTCTATGGATAGTTATTATCAACAGGTAATGGAGTGCATTATTATTTTCCATTCTCCTCTCCTTCCTGTCAGAAAATTATGCTTTTTATTCCACTCACTTCTAACTGAGACATGTGACTTGAAATGCTCCTTCCTGCGAGAGGATTATACATCCCTGTCCCATTGAACTGTGTGGACCTGTGATTTGCTTTGACTAATGGAAATTATAGGATATGTGTCACTACTGAGCAGAAGTTTTAATGTCGGTGCGTGGTTCGCCGTGTATCTCTCGTCCTTCTGTCAGAAGACCAGCCATACTCAAACAGGAGCTACTCCCTTAGCTCACTTCCAGAGTGAATGTAGCATGGACAGACACATTATGATACGCAGCCTGAGCAAGAAATAAAAGGTGTCATAAGTCACTGAGATTTAAGACTATTTTATTACCACAGTGTACAATTTTTATTTCTATGTAAAATACTATGGTGCACTTAATAAACAGTAGCTCATTTATATTAATTGTTATGCCATATTTAACTTCAAAAAGTATATACTACTGGTACAGTTGTATGATTTCTTTTTACATACTTATATTTTTCTATAATAGTAATATCCTCATATTCAAAAAAACACATATTCATAGTGATTTATATTCCCCTTTCCTAGCTAGATCAGAGATAATGAAACTTGACCTCAGTGTTATTGCAAAGCTATCTTTCCTCATTGTTGGCAATAACAGACAAAATGCATTAAGGTAAACTTTTCTGTATCTTCCTTCTAAGCTTTTAATATTATCTTCAAACTATTCACTAATTACCTTGAATATCATATTGGTATTATTTTAGTTATTAAAAATTACTTCTCATAATTTTAAAAGTAGTTCATATAACATATCCCACATTCTCAATGTCTTTCGTAGGCTGAAAGATTTTTATAACATTTACTTATTGTGAGTAAGTGAGTTCTCTTTGGGGAAAACAATTATGATTTTTCATAACATTCTGAGAATGTCTAGACTCATGCTTAAGGACTTGTTTTCAACAATTTGAATACACATACTTTTATCATTAGTGTTAATACATTAGGCTCTGGAATGTGTGCCCTTACTGTTTATTTTAAAGATTGATGTTTTATCGTTATTCCCGCTGAGTGCCTATAATGCACCATTAAGTGCCTCCCCTGTTTCAGGACCTCTGTGCTAAATTCCTCCCACAGGCTCTATCATTTAATCCAGAGTAATTCCTTCAGATAAATAGTAAAATTCCTATTTTATAGATAAAAATAATGACAGAATTCCCAGGACATACACTATTAAATCATATAACCAGGATTTAGGACAATATTGATTTAGTTCGAGGACTTGTTTTGCTCTTTGCTTTGAATTTTCCACACCTCATTTTATCTTTATTAAACAAGGCAGGGTGGTTGGATTTGGAGTTTTCTAATTCATGAATACAGGCAAAAAGTCTGGTAAGTACTTTGAAATGCATTGGCATTGTGCATGGGTTGGATGCTTCGTCTCTGCCCTGGAGTTCTGAGTGGTTAAAATAATAAGCTCAAGGAATCACACACACTCTCCTTCTGATGAGAAAGATTTTCTAATGTGTGTGTTCAATGTTCAGTCCAATGCTTTAATGCTTTTATGGAGAAAATACTATGTACTACATATGTGCTAAGTGCTAAAATACCGATACATAAAATTGTATGATCTTTCCTAATAAAGAAGAAAACTAATCAAATGATACAGAAAACTGTCATAAAGATGCTTATCACAATATTACCTATGGTAGCCAAATTTTAAAGTTATAATAATAGCCTGTTTAGGTAAATTGTGATATATCCATATGATGCAATGGATATATGCATTCAGTTGATGATGATGAATTGTCAAATGTAAAATTATCTTTATAATTTCATGTTACATAAAATAATATATAACAGTTTACTTTTACTAAGACTGTTGCATACAATGACTAAAGATTTAAGGGGAAGCAGAATAAATACACTAAGTATGTTACAATAGTGGAGATATACGAACTTTTTTCTGTATATTCATAGTATACTATAATCTTTCTGTGTCATTTGGTAATATAAGTGCACAACAATGACTTAATTTGACATTAATACCTATTTTTCCTTTTATACTGTGAGACAGTGCTCTGAAGTAAATTTCTAATCATATAAATAAATAAATAAATACATGCATAAAGCCTTTATAGAGAGAAGCAGAGCTTTATAACCTGCCAAGCAATCAACAGCAGCAGTACTGGAAGTTAGCAATTCGATTCTCCTGCCTGCCTGGAGACAGAGCTGACTGCCAGCCCAGTTGCCAGCTCTCTGGAGGAGCCCTGTGTTTGCACCAGACACATAGTAAGTCAACCAATGCATATAAACTATTTTTTATACATAAGGTAAACATTCATCGAGTTTTACCAAGGATGGCCTGGTTTACACCTGTTTTCCTGGAGCAAATGTTAATGGCACCCTCCTTCACTGGCCAAGTGACTTAATGTGGATGATAAATTATACAGATACCCTGAATATAGTTAATATAAAGGTAACAATGAATGCCCTGGTTCTGACAGCTGGGGAAGACTCCTCCATTAATCTGCTCAGAGAAAGCAGGTGAAACTCCAAAGCCGGTTCTCATCAGTAATCTGTTGTTCACAATGAGGTAAATTGTGTTTATGAATGCACATCAGTTTATATAAGCATAGTAGATAAGTGACAAGTTCCAGGAAAGGAACATACCTGTTACATTGTTTCTCAGTAGAATATAACCTAATGTCAAACCCTATAAACACTAGCCTTCAAAGAGTAAGTGTAATAGCTGATTTTAGACCCAGATGTCAGAGAAAATAAAAGTAAAATAAGAAATTTAAGAAAAAAAAACACAAATTCTGTTATTTTCTTTTTGCCTTTATATTGTAGTTGCTGAATTCTTTTTTATGAAAACTTCTTTCTAGGGTTTCAGCTTGGAATCTTTTTATTATTTGTAAAGCTTGGTAGGAGAGTAAAATAAGTGGAAAAAGTGACACATAACAGAGTTACCAATTTCAACTTTTAGAGTTTTAGAGAAGTAAAGTATTATTCATTCAGTTTGGTGAATAATTTATTGACACAAGCAAATAGGGGACCCATCAGTGAACACACAGAGAGAAACACCTGGAAACTGAGGAGGGAAAAGACAGCCAAGCCAGGAAAAGTAAGAGGCAGTTCTCTACAATGTGTTTCCAATCTGTTCAGTGTGTACCTGTTCCAGGATGGTGATCACATTGCATCTCAGCTGATTACTTTATTTATTTACGGTCCTCTGTATGCTCCTTGAAGCCACGCAATGTTTTATCATTGACATCTAGTCCAGGGCCTGACAAATAGCAGGTGTACAAGAAAAAACAAAAACTAAACCCTGAATAAGTGAATACATGGAAATAATATGAAAGCTCATCTTGCTGTTTACAGTTAAAATTACAGCAATGAA